ATAAAAGAGCACATATGTACAATTATAGGAAAATATTATCTGGATAACAAATAAACTAAAAGAAATTGCTGCTCTGAACAGGTGGCAAACAGTATCTGTGTGGAAGATAAAACATACAAATCGGCTATTAGTTTTAGTGGGTGCCAATGTATTGTGTTGCACATGTAACATTTCTAACTAATATGCACTGTGCACATAATTTTAAACATTAAAATAGTACAATTCTGTCTGTTGCCTCTTTGCAGGTTGCAGCTATGGAAGTGGTCTCGACATCAGTTGGCAAGTTTTCAGTTGATTTTTTCAACAAGATGAATGAGACCAACAAGGGGAAAAACATTTTCTTTTCTCCTTGGAGCATATCATCTGCTCTGGCTCTAATGTACCTGGGTGCAAAAGGCAATACAGCAACAGAGATGGCAGAGGTAGGTGGCTCTATGAAGCATACAACCCCATACAATACCTGGCTCCCATACTGGCTGCAAAATGTAGCGTTAGATACAAAAACTTGCCACCACAATGACAAGGAACTAAGGTAGTCCAGAGAATGTAACAACTGAATGACAAACTTTATTAATTTCATAGCAGGTCCCCCACTTCTCCTCTAAGGGAAAGTGTCCTGTGAGTATCACATAATGAGCATGGTAGTTCTCTGAACATCACTTCTTCTAAAGTATTCTACACCTTCTAATTTATCCTGTGATTCTATGATTCTGTCACAGGTGAGATATTCCCTTTGAGAAGCAAACAGCTGATGCCAGTAGCTCCTAATTGGCTGGAGGTTTCCAGATCCCAGCACCCTCCCTCTCTCTCCTGGCCAGGATGCATCTTTCTATCTTGATTTATGCTTTCCTAAACAACTCCCTGACAATCCAGCAGGAAAACAGGAAGGGATTCGGTATCTCCACAACCCCCAACCCAATCCTTCCTAACGCCACATGGGCACATTGCTGGCTCAAAGGGAGCAGTGGTGCTCAGCACTCTCCTTTGTGTCACTGCACTCCTGTTCAGATGCCTTTGTACTATTATCGTGGGGAGAACATTTGGGTTTGCACAAACACATTGCTATTGCTGAGAGCAACAGCTGTGGAAGGGAGTTCAGCCTTGCAGCATGCAGACAGAAACACTGCCTCGATGCTCTAGGAGGGGGACAGTGCTACTCATTGTTACTCTACGGGATTTACGTACACTACAGCTTCAGCATCCCTTTCATTAGTCACCTAAGCAGCACATAGCACAGTGAGTTATTATATGGAGCAAAGAAAGACAACCATTTGATCCCCATTTGGCTTTAAGTCACCCCAGTTCCATTAAGCTTATTTCTTACCTTTGGAAACTCTGCTTGCAGGTTCTTCATTTCACTCAAGCAGCAGGAGCTGAAGGCTCTTCTTCTGTGGCCAGACCTTCTCGGGGAAGACCAAAGAGAAGAAAAATGGTATCTATAGAAGTGAAATCCCAAGATAAGGAATCTCCAGAATCAAAATGTCCAGATACAGCTTTAGGAGTCCAGTATTTCTTGTCTGCACCCCTCTTCGAAGTATAAAACCCAACATACTTCATCATAGGTTCAAGTTCAGTTCCTTTCACTCACTCAGACTCTGAGAAGCATGGAAGGAAAAGTCACTGGGATAGTCTGGAAGGTTTGCTATATGGCAAATCAGCTAATCCTGAGCCCTGCAAATTGCAGTGATGGCAAACTTGGAAAAATAGAAGAGAGAGGAACCCAAATCCCCCTCCCACATACATAACTTAGCATGTTTTGAAAACTTCATGCAAAAATGCAATTGCTGAATGTATGGTCTCTCTTTCCAAGGATCCTGAGCACAAGCAAGCTGAAAATATCCATTCTGGCTTCAAAGAGCTCATGACTGCCATCAACAAACCCAAAAGCACCTACTCGCTGAGAACTGCCAACCGCATTTACGTGGAAAAAACCTTCCCATTGTTGCCCGTAAGTTGAATCTCAAAGAGGAGTAAGAAAAGGTGCAAAAAATATTTCTCATTTTAATTACTTGTCATTAATAGAACAGGTTTGGAGCTGACCCTGAACATGGCAAATGAAGAGCCCTGTATTCCAGTGATAAACTTAACTGCAAAATACCAGTTGGTCTGCTCACAATATTTAAGGATGCATTGCCCTTTGACTGTAGTGTAGGGATTCCTTTTCATGCAATACAGCTTTATTTTTGGAACCCCCAATATATATAATTGTAAATGAGACATTAAAATAAGCACATCCATGGGATGTGCATAGCCTTCCTCACTTCTCCAAATAAAAGTGGGAACAAAAGAAGGGAATTTTCTGTCCTTTGGTTATTTCTTAACTGTTAACTCACAGCCCAACGGAGAGTAAGAAGCAAGATCCTGCAGTTCTCTAGGCTCAAGAAGCTATCAAAAAGTCCAAGAGCTAACAACTTCCCTTTGGGACTGAAAAATCCTGTATAGTATAGAACTTTTTTTTTTTTTT